GGCGGCCTGGCTGGCTTGGACACGTGCCTAATCAGTGCATGTCAGCAAAATTTCGGTATGGGTACGCTACTCTAGCCTGAGCAAGACTTACAGCCAACTCTTGGATTCTGGCTACCGTCTCAGTGCGGGTGTTGGCGGTACTGCTCGGGGGCGGTTCGCAGAAGATCCACAGGCCGTATACTTGATCACCTTGCATGATGATGTATTCGTCCGTGAATTCCAAACCATCAGGGCCAGTTATCTCCATGTAGAAGTTGTCCATGCTGCGGCGATTCAAGATAACAACACCGTAACGCTCAACCCCTGCAGCAGATGGTACCAAGCCGCAGACGAAGAGACTACCTTCGACGCCAACCTTCTCCCACTGTTCCGTCTCCAGACTGAAAGCATACAGGACGGCGTATGGGGCGACATGGTGCACCGCGTTGACATCGGGATAGTGGCGGCGAATGACCGAGAGGTTGAGTTCCTCATTGGAGCGCCCCGGCGGCGGCGGCGGATAATCGATGTTTTGGGGGACATCAGTCTCGTAGTCTGAAGGCTGCGGCGGGGCCTGTGGTTGCGAGAGGTGCGCGCGCGATCTCCCTTTGTTCGGACCCATGGCGCGCGAGCAAGAGATGTGGGTGTTGTTTCGTGAGTTGTGACGCGCGGTGTTGGTGTTGTCGGCGCGGGGAGCTTCCTCGGTACGGTGGTGCCCTAGGAAATAGTGACTCCACCACAAATGCTCCAGAGCTTGGGCCAGGTAGGTGGCTCAACGACGAGCACTGCCACGCCGTCGTCATCATCGGGAACTACTCCTATGTCATAGAGGGGGAACACCCTTCGACACGCCGACCGACTGCAGCATCATGGACAGACGGTGACATTCTTCTGAACTTCGACACACGCGCGGCCTGCCCCCCGCCTCCCCACCGTCGCCATGCCTTCAGACGCGAGCTCAATCTCTTCGGAGCGGCTCGATGCCAATATTCCTGGAGCCTTTCCCCATAGCAACACTAGCCAGACTCACATCCCCACGACTCACCAGAACCTCACACATGCCCTGTACGCGCGCAGAGCCGAGTACACCCGACCACGCCACGTGCGCATCAAAGTGGGGTCCTGGAACACAGCAGGCCTGAAGGGCGTGGAGCAAGACATCGGTGCCTGGTTCGTAGACGGAAAAGGCATCGAAGAATCGTTAGCCGGTCTCGGTGTCGAAGACCCCGATGCTAAACAGGCTTCGGCAAGAGAAAGCATATCAGACCAAGAAGCGCGACGAACATCGCACGCGCCTACAGTGCCTGAACATGACATAGCCGCTGTCGCCAGCAACGAAGACATTGGACTCTATGTGCTGGGTCTGCAGGAAGTGGTAGACATAACGTCTGCCACGGAAGCATTGCGGCCGTACACAGATCCCAGTGTCGCCAGCAAGTGGAAAACGAACGTTGCTGCCGCCTTGCCCAATGGCTACCAGCTTGTGGCAGAACAGCAACTGATCGGCTTGCTTCTCCTCATCTATGCCTCCCCAGGGGTGAACCCGCATGTTAAGTCAGTCAGTACCACAAGTGTTGGCACTGGTCTCATGGGATACATGGGAAACAAAGGCGCCGTCACGGCTAGGATTGTCCTAGGCGAGACCACCAGACTCGTTTTCGTGAATTCACATCTCGCTGCAGGCGCTGACAAGACCTCACTGGAACGGAGGAACTGGGATGCGGGCCAGATCGCCAGTCGCACACGCTTCGATCCCATCACCGACGCCATGGACCTGAACCAGGGGCAGGGAGAGGGCATAGGCGACGAGGATTTTGCATTCTGGTTTGGAGATCTCAACTATCGCTTGGAGGGAATGCCCGGAGACGATGTGCGACGACTGCTCACCGTCCACACCCGGGACCACGACCAAGAGGATGCAAAGGAGAACGCTTCCACTTCTGGAGATTCTGGTTATGCTTCGAAACGAGACTCGGAAGATGCCGTTCCTATCCCGCCTGAATTAGACCCTGCAAGCCTTCATACGACCATCAACTCCCTCCTGCCCCACGACGAGCTCCGGCAGCAGCAGAAGGCCGGCAAAGCGTTCCATGATGGCTGGGAAGAGGGTCCGATACGATTTCTTCCAACGTACAAGTATGACGTGGGTAAAGTCGGAGTTTACGATTCCAGCGAGAAGCGACGTGGGCCTAGTTGGTGCGACCGCATCCTATATCGGACCAGAGCCTCAAGACACCAATACAGTCTCAAAGAGAAAGAGCGAGAGGAAGCTCGAAAGAAGGACGAAGAAATGAAAGCGAAAGGCCTTGACCAAGATGACGACGTCTTGTACGACTATGATCCCGACACCGATGGGGACAAGAACGACAGCTACGATGAATACGATGAACAGCAGGATCCCGAACCCGAGATCGTTCCGACCAAGGCGGGCTTTTCCGATGAATTTCTTCTGGAGTCTTATACGTCGCACATGCGAGTCATATCGTCGGATCATAAACCTCTAGACGCTGTCTTCTTGTTGAAATACGACGCAGTAATGCCAGAGTTGAAATCCGCTATACACCAGGAGGTTGCTCGGGAGCTTGATCGCCAAGAAAATGAGGGTCGCCCATCTGTTACAATGGTAGTTGATCACTCTACTTCGACATTCGAGCACAAAGATACAACCGACGGCAACTTTGATGGGGTAGACTTCGGTGATGTTTCATATGGCAAGTCGAGACGTCGGAACATCACAATTGCAAACACCGGAAGAGTACCTGCTACGTTCGGTTTCGTCATGCGTCCAGTTGATCAAAACCAGCCCGAAGGAGCATTCCCGCCCTGGCTCAGAGTTCGGTTTGAACGGGAACCCGACACGGCCTCAAACTCGACTTCCCATGACTTGGATACGCAATATACCTTACAACCCGCAGATGTCTGCAACGCAGAGTTGAAGCTCAAAGTTGATAGTCCAGACATGGTACGCCTACTGAACGAAGGCACGTCATCTTTAGACGATGTCCTTGTTCTACGAGTCGATAATGGCCGTGACCACTTTCTTCCTCTCCGGGCCCATTGGCAGCCATCAACCCTCACGCGCACGATCGATAAGCTCATCAAGATCCCCGAAGGCGGCATCCGCAAGCTGCAGGGCCAGAAACCGGATGGCGAAGTGAGATGGTCGGTGCCCCGGGAGATATTTCGGCTGACGGAGATACTAGAAGACATGACGGAGCGCGCACTCGCCGAGTGGGATATGACCGGTCATGAAGGGGATAAAGAGAACGCTCCATGGCAGCATAACGCTGCGTGGCCGTTCATCAGCCAGGATAAAAGCTCCGAGGACGAGGATGTCGTGGGAGGTATCATCGAATCGCTCGATTGCGACGAGCCTTTTGACCTAGCTTTCCCGGCCACCATGCGCCCAAAAGAAAAGACAGAGTATTTTGCAGAAGCACTTCTCCTCTTCCTGCGAACCCTGCCGGACGGCGTGATAACCAAGAGCCTCTGGGAGAAACTCGAAGAAGGCATCACCACGCGCGAGAAGTCGAAGCAGCAGCTTGACCGCGACGACGAAAAGCTGTGGACCCTCGAAATCCTCGCCACAGCACCAAACCACAACGCCACCTTCCTCCTGATCATCTCTGTGCTGCAAAACATCACGCACCAGATCGCGGAAGCGGGGAAAGCGGATCCGTCGACGCCGCGCACGAGCACGGAGCTTCCTGCGTCGCCGAGGGCAGCGGTCAGGAGGAGGACGTTAAGCAAGGTTCCTAATATAGCACTACGGCAGCTGATCTATCGCAACTATGCAACTGTGTTTGCGGACGTGATGTTTAGGGGGGCGGGCGCGGAGAAGATGAGGGAGAGGGATAAGGCGGTGCGGAAGGAGAGGATGGTGAGAATTGTGGAGCTGTTTCTTAAGAACGAGGTTGATGGGACGGGTTGATGGTGGTGAGGTTTTTGATATGCCGTAGACACATAGGATAGGGTCCCAGTATGTAGTAGCGCCGTATGACAATGCACGATTATTAATATACCTGGTCCTTCTGATTGGCATGTGTTTTCCTTTCGTTATTTCTTTCTTGTTACATTCACCTGAATGTTTTTTCCTAGGATGATGGACCATCATACAAGCGCCTAGTCCATACCTATCTCATCGCATGGCCACTTCGCGCGTTCCGGCAGTATCTTATCATCTGCCGTGATGCGAGGAATACCAAATCCGATACCGTGTCTGTTTTTGAGCTATCAGCTAGGGGAGACATCTTTTTGTGATCAATTTTGTACTCCACGCGATAAATATATCTTTTTGTTCTCGTTTCTCTGCAGAAATCAACGGCGTGGGTCGTGATTAAAATAGTAGGTAGCTGTTTATTGAAGTTAAATAACGTGGTTGACAGCATGACGTACGTGTGCTTTACCATATTCCTCTATTCCGTGAAGTATAGTAACCATTTGTTTAAGTCAAGGAACGCAGAGTAGTTGGTGGTTGCTAACATGACGTGCGTGTGATTTGCCGTGTTCTTCGATCCCGAGAAAAATAGTAGGTACGTACCACAGCCAGTAAATCGCCTGCCAACTTTTCCTCTTTGCGTTTTGTCTTTGGAACATTGGTCTTGTGCAGATGAATACAGGCAGATAAAAGTGCAGGTAACATGTAGTAGGTTTCGCGGCGCTCATCCGTGTTGCTCTTACCATCATCCCCCTTGCGCTCGATTTTCGATCCTCAAGTCCACGCATTGGTGCCAGAGCTATCTATCTATGTTTAAAGGAAAATCTAAACTACCTATCGTACGCATGTAAAAAGAAACCCTGATAATTTGGGGATGGTCGGGGGGAATCGTCATCCGCACCCCTCTTACCATCCCTTTAAGCCCAATTTTTCGAGCCACGAGCTCACACATTGATGCCAGGACTCTCTTTCTGTGTCTAAATGCTACGCTAAGCTCCCTATCATACGCAGGCAAAAAGAAACCCGGATAATCCGGGGGTACGGGTGTGTGTGTTCGGGAGGACCTCCCCCCGATACCAAAAATTGCGGCCATCGGGACTCGAACCCGAGCCTGAAGCAAACTCGCCATGGACAATACGATGGGAAGCTTCAATTCTACCCCTAAACTATAGCCGCTGAGATATTACCACTCGGGGGTGGATTTTTTTTTTTGTTATCATTCTGAGAACGATGACAGATTCTCCCTTTACCTATATATAATGCAGTTAGAAACGCCAGAGCAACGAGAACAGGACCAGAAGGGTAGGCAATGAGTATAGGTGTCATCTTCAGCTGCGAGGTGGGGCATTTTTGCGACGGTGGGGAATGGAGGGGTAAGCACTTGCGTCGGCAAATGACGCAGCGGTGCCGGCCGAGCGGGCGAATCGAGCGCGACACCAACCCTTGCGACGTGTGATATTGGAACGGAACAGCAGTATGTCAGAATGGAAAAAGTGTTCTGGTTATCATATCGTACTGGGGGCGATGAGAGAATTCCGTTCGAAAAGGAAACGGACGGAAAGAAAGACTTTTAGTACAAAGAAAATTTCTAATTGTAGATCTCGTGACTTAAGTGCAGTCTTCTTGAAGGGGGGGCTGATCCTGAGCTGCGGTGCAGCGATTGGACTCATAGCCGTTAACAGCGAAGACATGGTTTTTGGCGGAAATATTTAAGATTTTAGGGCGCCGGTAAATTAATAATTTTCTCTAGCCTTCACACGGGCTGGAGTATAAACAAAAAGAATTCGAGATAAAGCCGGAGCTTAATTGATTCTAGCATGCAGACAGGAAGGCTATAATCTTCTCTCCCCATCCTTCTTGACTTTCGCCTCTCCGGGATCCCCATCAACAAGCGTGGCACTCGTATCCACACGCCCAACGCTTACCCTAAACCTGCTCCAGTCGACTTCTTCCTGCATCTCATCCTCATCCTCATCCTCATCCTCCCTAGCATCCTTCCCCTTCACACCATGGCCGCCCGACTCCTCTGTCTCAAGACTCCCCACGCTCTTCTTCTCCTTAACAGCATGTGACCCATCACGCAGCTCACCCAACATCTCCCTCTCCCTCGTAACCGGAATCTCCTTCTCCAAATCCACCCACCGCCCCTCCCCCTGCGCATCAAACGCCCTCCTCTGCAACTGAAACACACCATCCTGAACCCAGCGCTCAATCCGCGGCGCAAGCGCCTTCCTAAACCTCGACAGAAAGATACAAACCCTCAGAATGAAAATATTGAGGAACGTGACAATCGCAGCGACGGTAGTCAAGAAGACAAGCGCGAAGACGTTTACGTTCGCAAACCCACCCGCCTTCCGCATCCGCAGGCTCTGGCAAAACATCTTGTCCCCCACACTAGCCGGCTCATCGCGGTAGGTATCGCCTTCTGTGTCGAAGACGCTGGGCCCGATGACGGACGCGCTGAGCAGCGTTTGGTAGCCGGTCCAGACGAAGGACTCCCAGGCGGTGACTTCGCGGATCCACTGGTCCGAGGCGAGCCCGGGGGATATGCCGACCATGAGAGCTTTGCTGGCGCGCAGGTTGCCGAGCTGGGGGCTGCGGTTCGTGTCTATTACGCGGGATATGGATTGGAGGAGGGTGAGGATGGAGGATTGGAGGGGTGTGGCGTCGGGGTAGGCGGTGGTGGGGGTGTTGGGGGCGGGGCTGGGGCCGAGGGGGGTGCAGAAGTCTTCTTTGTCGGCGCGGGGGTAGCATAATTGTAACTGGGAGGTGTTAGAGACGGTTTCGGTGGAGGGGATGTGGGTTGCAGGGTGAGTTCGGACACTTTTACAGCAGACGTTACCAAAGTGTCCGATCTTTCTCTGCGCCCATTTTGGGGCATGAGGCTCACCTGTTGGGCACAGCCGACTACGCCTGCGTAGTAATCGGACCAGTAGATTGTTTTGTTTTTGCCCGAGGACTGTTGGCGCATTTCGACGCGATGGGCTGCGAAGAGGCGGTCGTCGACGGGCTTTTCGTAGACGACGGCGTTGGCCCATACGGAGATGAGGGCTACATCTGCGTCTGTGCGGTTCATCTCTGGGAGGGGATTGATGAAGCTGCTGACTTGATCCCCGTGGATGTAGGACATCATGGCGCTGTATAGAGATGGAATCAGAAAAGTCCACTGGTGTACCGTGCACAGTGGGCGCAGGGAAAATCCGGACACTTTTGGCGACGTCGTCTGTGTAAAGGTGTCCGAGTTTATCCTGCACCCCCGGTGGTCATTGGGGGATGCTTACGTTGTGTAATAGGACATTTGATGTTCAACGAGTACAGATGGCACATTGAATGTGACCTCGGGACGCTGATAATCGGGCACCCCTTTCCACGAACCATACTCGAGTGTCCACCGCTCAGCCGGGTTTCCACGATTCAGGTAGTCAGCAGGTCTCTTGAATACATGGCCTTCCCGTGGCAGGACATTGCAAGTTGTCCTTCGACGGAGCTTGACTGTGTCCTTCTCCGCAATGTTCAGGCCAAAATGAGTCCTTATATCCAGGAGGCCTGAATCCATGACGACCGCAGGTGAACTCTCGCCGCTGCACATGGTATCATTCCAAGGACATGCCGCAGGTTCGGCACTGAAGGGAATGTTCGGTAGGTGGAAGGTGTTTCGGCACACTGCTGGGAGCGAAGAACTGTTCTGATAGCAGTTCGTTGCGTATGACTGGATCGAATCGCCATGTGTAGCAAGTACGCTAACACCCTGTTGGTTTCCCGAGAAAACCTTGGTGTTGTTGATACGCCCACAGAAAGGGCTATCCACCAGCACTTCAATGTTCGAATTGTCGACAGCATAACTCGTGGAGATACCGCCGGCAATCGATCCGATCGTAAAGAAAAAAGCGAATGCCAAAACCGGTAGCGACCGAAGGAGGGAGTGTTTGATTTTCGACCTCCACGCCCAGGATAACTTGAAGGAGTCTGCCAGAAACGCCGTTGGTGTTGGCATTGTCCGGAGGAGAGCTTGTTGCTGCCAGAACAGACCTTCCGAGGCCATTCTGTGCGCTCGGGCCTGATGGAGCACAAATATGAGTAGGCTCCATAACTGTGCAGTTGCCACCGATGCCAGAATAGTAAGAACTGCGACGATGAGCGTGCCTATACTTGCGGGTACAAAGTCAGCTGAGTCACAAAAGTGGGTTGATGTACGAAGCTACCATGCCTAAGACATAGCGACTTTGTACCGGGGAGTATCTTACCAGTTTGGGCGTCCACAGTGTAAGTCTGGCCCATGATGGAACCCTTGCTCCAGTCGATCCAATACCCTCGTTTGACGAAGCGATCATCGAGTTCAGCCATTGCAATTGAAGCGAAGAAAAGAACCTAGTCTAAAGGAGCGACAACTGAAACATCGCACGCTCAAGGAGAGTTTATCAACCTTTATAACGGGACCGAGCCAAGGTCTCCATGTTCTGGTCAAGGTTGCCGAGCGAGAGGGTATTTTTGATGTTCTACACGAGATATGACGGGGGCGACAACAAGTAACTTTCAGGAGAGCAGGTCGCAGCGTAGGGATCTTTGGTCAGCCACGATCTACGGCGGGCCTTCGAGGGTCGTTAATTGGTTGGCTGTACCTAAAAATCGACCACACCCTGCACTTACTGCACACACGGAGATATAGCAAAACATATCGTGGTCCCGAGTTAAAATTAGAGTTTGTCGGTAAGCTGACCACCGAACCAAGCCGCTGGGGCCCGCATCCAGGTATGATTATCCGGCGGCTGAGCCAATGAGTGGAAAGAATGCATGCAAAAAACATGACTTGGCTTGCACATCTACATATATAGATTCAAGATGGCGATGGCAGAACCTGACGATGTGTTCTCATCTCGTATTCGTATGCAGTTGGCCAGATGCTCCCTAGTGGTGTGGCTACTGTACCTCGAATAGAGGCAACAGCTCAAGCGACCCATTTGGTACAGTTAGCGGGAAATCAGTGTAACTGCGACACATGTATGTCTAGGAGAAACTGCCCAGCAAATGATAACTAGTCGTTAGGACCATCACGATGATAAGATCAACGGATGCTGACAGGAGCTCTTGTTGTCTGCGAATCCTTCTCTGGAAATCCTGCTGCAGCATTGGAACTTATGGCGAGCTTTTTCCAGAGCCTATTCGAGCTCAGCATGATGTTTCTTCTTACGTCCAAGGAGCGAAAGTTCCTTGGCGTGGCGGGAATTGAGAATATGGGCCGATTGTGGATATGCAAAGGTGAGGGTAAAGACACGTGTCGAGACTGCGGGCAGATGTGGCGTGGAAGTGTTCATATAATTAGAGTGGTCATTTGAGAGGCATCTGGTAGGCTGATGAATCGGGAGGCAATGCACTGCGCGTGGTCGCGGTTGGGGACGCGGGGAGACGCGTCAACTGGTCGTGGTCACTAGCTGCACCACGACATCAACTGGCCGATGATGGCATGAACGTGCTGTATAAATGTACGATTTGGGTTCAAGAACCATAGATTTAAGATGCATGTGTCGCGAAGAAGTTGCGTATAAGGTTGTGATGTATTCTGGCACAAGCTCTCGAACTGTTGCGCACGTACCGAAAACCGTGCGTCATTCGGCGGCACCAACCCACCTGAAGCTCACGCACATCAACACTGCCGCTACACCTTTCCGCCGCATTGCACCCACCCGCCTCCTCCAGCCATGTCTTCCAAGATAGACAAGACGATCCAGCGCCAGCAGGAAAAGTAGTTCTTGCCCCAACCAAATCCCCCGCACGAGCATACTGACACCCTGCAGGATCGCAGAGGGCCAGTTCTACGAAGCCCACCAGCAGCTCCGCGTCATCGCCGCGCGCTACGTCAAGGCCTCCAACTGGGAAGCTGCCACCGACATCCTCTTCCGGGGCGCGCAGTCGCTCTTGCAAGCCGGGCAGGGCGGCTCCGGCGGCGACCTGTGCATCTTCCTGCTTGAGGTATTCCACAAAAGCGAGACGAAGCCGGATGCGGGGAGCAAGGGGAAGCTTCTGAGCTTGCTGCGCGCGTTTCCCAAGAACGAGCCTACACGGAAGAAGTTCGTGAACGAGACGGTGGGGTGGAGCGCGAAATGGGGCGAGTATCCCGCGGGCGACCCAGAGATCCATCATGTGGCGGGGACGCTCTACGCTGAAGGTGCGTACATGTC